ATAACAGACAGTGGGAGACCAGCACTGGGCATTGGTTTGGTTTGTTCTTTCTTGGTATGGTTTTCTTCTCTAACAACATATCTGTATTGTTTTGACTTATATAGCATTGTTGAGCTCAACTTGTGATAATATTGCCATTGAAAGACACTCACTGAAGAACTTCTCATGAGGTTCCTATGGCACCTTGCTGTTTCAGTAGCCTCACCTCAGGCTGGTTATAGAGCTGGGTGGCTTCTTCAGGATTGAATTACAGCTGCCAGTTCATACCTGGTCTTTGCCTGACGAAAAGACTGGACTTTGCTGCTGGTTCATGCCTGTTGTCTGCCTGCCTAGAGGACTGGTCTGTAGCTGCTGAGTCGTAGTTGGTGTTTGCTATGGGACTGTACTGATGATGCCAAAGAACTATTGCTGAATAGTTCCACTTCCCCCACACCCTAACAACTTTTCTCTTCTGGTACTTATTCTGGGTGGTGGATTAGAGGAGAAGGTAGAAGCCTTATTAAAAGTAGGTTGTAAAAAATGTATGCCTACACATAGGTACAAAGATCTATCTTTAATCTGGGCAACACCTTCTTCTAGCAGTCTAAATAAAGAGTGTAGAAAGGGGAGGCTTCCTCTTTGCCTGCTTGTTCTTGCTAGCAAGTCCTTTCCTTCACTGGCATTAGAAGCACTTCTTTGGGATTCCAGCATATACTGAACACCTGCGACATCTAACCTCATGGACTGAGTAACTACTGACTCTTGGAATTTCAGTTGGTAGAGAGCCATAGTTGGATTAGCTGAACCACAGCCTGTAAGCCATTCTAATAAATCTATTCACTTTCTTGCCCCATGACACTGATCATCTTAAAACTCCCTATGTAGACTAGGCTGTCATCTAACTCATAGATTCATGTGCCTCTGCCTCTCCAGTTAGGGATTAAAGGGATACATTATCATGCCTACATAAACTCCTGTTTAAAAAAATTCTATTAAATTATCCTTTGTGGTAGTGAGTTTCTAAAAGAATTTTTCATATGTCCCTTTGATCCTGCTGGCTCAGCCTCCAAAGTAGCTGGAGGATTATAGAGTAGCTCGGATTATAGGCTTTTGCCAACAGGCCTTGTTCTTCATTGGTCTAATATTGGTTTCATGTCCTTGACTCATGTCATTATTTTGGTCTTATTTTTCTTTCAAGACATGGTCTCAATCTGTAGTCCAGGCTTGCCTTGAACTCCTGATTCTCCTGCCTCTACCTCCTATGTACTTGGATTGTGGGCACATGTCACTATGCTTGATTTGCTATAGCTTAACTTGAATGTTTTGGAGGTCAATCTATGTTCTTTCCTGTTAAATAGTTTCAAAGAATATGGTATCTTTCAGCCTTGGAGTGACTCCATTTTATGACAGCAGGTTACTCCACTTGTGTTCAAATCCTGGGGCTGAATCATCGGTCTTGTATGTGAGTAAACTTATCTTCATGAAACCTGCCATGCATGAGCTGAGCAAATTGAATCAGGAATATATGGGTTGTTGGGCATTCTATAGAGATGATTTTAAATTTTCATGTGCAGATTTTGCTAGTTTGAGCAGAGTTTCATTCTGTGGCACTGAAATTCACTATGTAGACATAGCTGGCCTCAAATCAAAGATTGACTTGCCTCTGCCTTCAAGTGCTGAAATAAAAGACATGTCCACCATACTGTTCTCATGTATAGGTTTGTCATGAATTTAAAGCTCACAATTTCAAGTATCAGAGTATTAAAATATTTATTTTATTAAGTTTGAGTCTTATGTATCCATGGCTGGCCTCAAACTGACTAGGTAGCCAATAATGATCTGTCTACACTTGTCAGGTGCCACATTGTTCTGATTTTTTTATTTATTTCAACACTTCTGTTCAACATGATAAGAAATGGCCAGGAGAGATGGCTGAGTGGATGGAAGCCGTTACCATACAAACTCAAAGGACCTGAGTTTGATCCCTACTGTGGCAAAAGAGAACCAAAGTGCAAAAGATGTCCTCTGGTGTCTACATATCATGACATGCATAAACCAACACTCACAATGCAGCAAACACACACACACATACACGGGGAGAGAGAGAGAGAGAGAGAGAGAGAGAGAGAGAGAGAGAGAGAGAGAGAGAGAGAACACTACACACATGAGGTTAGAATTGTAGATTTAACATCCATCACACTGTGTGGAAGACAAATGCCCATTTTCTATAAGGTCCTTAGTATCTAAAGGTCACTGGCTCAGCAGCAATTCATGAAACATCATTAACAGAAGACAATATCAAAACAAGCACAGTCAAACCATCTTTCCTACTACAAGTATGGTTCACACATCAAGCCAGCATAACATTATAAATACCAGATCACACAGCCATCATTAAAAAATGAACTGTGGAGGATGGCTTAGTGGTAAAGTGCACTGGATGTATCCTGTTCTATGGATTGTTCTTGGACGTGATTTCATATCTGCAACAAACACTAGTGTTCAGTTTAGAGGACCTGGGTTTGATTCTCAGCATCCATATGGAAGCTTAACCATCTTTAACTCCAGTTCTAAGGGATCTAACACCCTCACCTCTATAGGAACAAAGCATCCTTGTAGAACAAGTCCATTCATACCAAAATCACTCATACACATAAATAAATCTAAAATTTATTTATGACTCCCTCCCTCCCTCCCTCCCTCCCTCCCCACCCTCCCCTCCTTCCCTCCCTCCCCCCTCCCTTCCCTCTCTGTGTGTGTCCCCACAGCCAGAGAGAACAGTGCCTTGGGGAACTGTGAGAGAGGCTCCAGGAAAAAAAGGCAGAGTGCCTTTTACCTAAAGTGTATCCTGTTCTATGGATTGTTCTTGGACGTGATTTCATATCTGCAACAAACACTAGTGTTCAGTTTAGAAGACATGTTTATTCTTGTTGAATTATGGAAGCAGCTATAGAACCCAATCTGGGGAAGGGATATGCTGAGTGCTGTCTTCAGTGTACCCTGAATCTAGACATGTCCTTGTACCTTGCTTTTCCAGATATAATCTATAGTATGTGCCAGGAAATTGTATTTAAATTGGTCTATCCTAAGAAATTATGTATTTAATATTTAGTATGTACTTATTGATGTTTATTTACATGTTCTTTGTGTTTTTCTGAACTCAAACAACCTTCCTTATATCATTGTTTTCTTTATTACATTTGTGTATAAAACTACTCTGAAACTGAGTAAAGCCTGCAGGATTGCATTTCAGTGTGCCTCATTCTTTAAAGTCTTTAAATTCCAGGTCTTGCAGATAGATCTGCATAACTCAACATAACACTATATATGGTGGGGAGACTACTGGCCACAGTCTAACAAAGAAGTGAGCTCTATGTTCAGTGAGAGACCCTGTCTCAAAAAAGCTTAGGTTGAGGAAAAGTGTCAACCTCTGGACTGCACATAGACATTCAAACATGAATATTGCACACACTCAAACCCTTCGTCCAGCATAGAAAACTTTATGAACTGATGCTAAGCATTGTAGTAGATAGCTGTGATCCTATAAGGGTGGAGCAGAAATATCATCATTTACGATTAGCTTAAGGCCAGACAGCCCTTTCAATTCTCCATTTAAAAAACATTAAGGATTTTTTTTTGTTGTTGTTTTTTTGAGACAGGGTTTCTCTGTGTAGCCCTGCCTGTCCTGGAACTCAATCTGTAGACCAGGCTGGCCTCGAACTCAGAACTCAGAGATCTGCCTGCCTCTGCCTCCCAAGTGCTGGGGTTAAAGGCGTGCGCCACCACTGCCTGGCTTTTTTTTTTTTTTTATTAAGGAGTTTCATAATACATATTTAGTAAATACAGGATGCCACATGCCAAAAGAAGTGCTAGCTTTCTTAGGAGAGAGTCTCCATCATAGCACAGATGCCTTCTCTGAACCAAGGTTCTCTACAGGAACATCATGTGCTCTGTTACAGTTAGGAACTGCCATGTGGGTGCTGGGAAGCACAGATAGGTCCTCAGCCCTCTCTACTGATGAGCCATCTCAAGCTCCAGGATTAACTTTCAAATGCCTTCTTCTGAAAACTGACTTCTAAAATATTATAAAGATGGGAAAGGCAGCACCTGTTGAACCTTTCTGCAGAAGGAAAATCCCTCTAAGAACAGAACACCATGCACTGCTTAGTGATGAATAATACATATTGTAACAGACCCATTGCAAAGGAACAGGACCAAAAGAACACCGAGATTTATCAGGATATCACCCTGACCTATCAAAAATCTACAAAGTTCCTCTTCTTGTTGGTGGTATTAATTAATGTGTATGGAGATTTTGCCAGCATGTTATATTTGTGCACCAAACATGTGTCTAGTTCTTGAGGAGGCCAGAAAGGGTATCAGAGCCAGAGCCTCTGGAACTATATTTACAGATGGCTGTGAGATTCCATGTGGATGCTAGGAATCAAACTCAGGTTTTTGGTATGAGCAGGCAGTGCTGTTATCTACTAAGCAACCTCCACCTAGAGTTTTAATAATATGTATTTTATTTATTTATTATTTATTTATTTATTTATTTAACTAACTATGACTACCGATTTAATACAATTGTGGTCCATCTTGAGAATTAAATACAGAAGTGACTGGTTGAACATCTAGTCTTGGACAGATCCACATCTTGAAATACACAACTGTATGATCCCAGTAGTCATTTCTCCTCACATTTCCACTCTCTAGATGTCAAAGTCAGCCTATTTGTTTCCAACACATTGAACAATATCAGAAGACATGTGCTCAGGAGCCCCTTGGTCACAGACTTGTCCCTAGACTTTCATTTCCTTCTTTCCTTCTTTCCTTCTTTCTTTTTCGAGACAGGGTTTCTCTGTGTAGTCTTGGCTGTCCTGGAACTCACTCTGTAGACCAGGCTGGCCTCGAACTCAGAAATCCGCCTGCCTCTGCCTCCCAAGTGCTGGGATTAAAGGCGTGCGCCACCACCGCCTGGCTAGACTTTCATTTCTTAGTAACGAAAAGCAACCTTCTATTTACTGCCAACAATGGCAAAGTCTGGTCTCCATGTCATAGATACAGCGCTGTAAACATTGAAGGCATGTCTGAGAGGCAAAGGAGACAGACTGGGGCTGCCTTACAGTACAAAGTGTGTCCATAAGCTCAGAAGAAAGCTGGGAAAATGTCCCTGCTCTGACAACAAAGCCAATTTCATAGCACTCCAGAGGGGCAGGATAATACTCAACATTCAGCTGCCTTAGGTTGGTTGTGTGATGCAGAAGTTTCCTTAGGACAGCCATGGAGATGTCATTATCATAGAAGTTGACCTCGATGAGCTGAGAGCACCGACTCAAGGCAGGGAAAAGTGCACTGAGTTGAGAGTCTGTCATTCTACAGTGTTCTAATTCCAGGGTCTTCAGAGTGTCTGTGACTTTTTCTAGGAGAATTCTGAGAGGCACAAGACTCAGATCACACAAAATGATACCTGACAAATGCAGATGTTTGAGATGATGAAGGCTCTGACACTGGGCAAAGGACTCCAAATCTGACTGTGAGAACTTGCAGAGAGTAATGGACAGGAACTCCAATGGGGTCTTCAGACACCTAAGGAGAGACCATGGGATTAACTTGGCATAGAGTGACAGGGCTAGCCTAGAGTAGGGGAGACCACATATCTTGAGTCAGTGTCCCTGTGGGATGACAGTGAGCATCCAGCACAGCCTGTTGGAGTCTTCCACTCAGGTCACACCATTTTAGGCTGTGACCAGTCACCATCATGATAAGACTCGATCATTATTGCTAAATCTACAATGACCACTCGTCTATATGGGAAACAGGAAAAGTTTGCTGTGAAAACAAAAAGAGCTCTCCCTCCTTCCTTACCTGAACAAATCATTCAGGTGGTCCTTGAGAAAGTAGACACCAACCATGTTGAGATGCCGGAGACAGTTGAATTTGGAGAACTGAGAAATTAACTTGGTGATTCTCTTCTCATGTTTGTCTGTTGACATAAATAGAAAGCTAAAGAGTTTCTCATCGACTAGTGTTAGAAGGAGTTTACGAAGATTTTTCATCTGACCCAGGGAAGGTGCAAAGCATGCCAATGTGGGCAGAGTCCACCCTGTATTCAGTTCTAACTCCACAATGCAATCTGGCTGGAAAATCTTCAAGACCTTCCTGACGGTGTACATTGACAATTCTTTAATCTGCATCTTTACACAGCACAGGTTCAGGGAACCTCTTCTCTTCTGTGCCCACTGCAAGAAATAAGTTTGGTATTCGTCCAGATCAAACTCAAGACAAAGGTCAGTGACCACCTTCAAACGTTGCCTCAGTGCATATCTATGAAGGCGTGTTGGTATTTGCTTTTCACACACAGTCTCTGCTGAGCGGTCTCCATCTTCTGGTCCAGCTGAAATATCCCAGAAGGCATGGTGCACATTTCTAAGATCCAGCACTTGAAGCTTCTGTCTTCTGTGGGTAAAACAGGTAGAAGTGTAAAAAGATACAAAAGACCAAAACCATTAGCCAGCTTTTTCTAGGCATCTTTCTTGTTAGCTGCTAACTTCTCTATTTTGTCTGTCTTATAGATTTAAGTTTCCAGTGCTGGGTCTCCATATATCAACTCAAGCCTGCTGTGCAAGGGCCTTAACTGCATCTGGAGATCTGCCCTGCTTCCTCCATTTGTTACTCTGGACTTCTGCTGTCCCTATACCTATTACTTGGTAGAGATACAGGGCCGTGTAGCTACATGGGTTGTAAGCTGTACTGCATACTTAATGGTCATTTGATACAAGGACTCAACAGCTGTCCAGGACTCTTTAAGATGATGCCAGCGGAAACCTCTGATACACCTTTGACTCCATTCTCCATGAGCCCTGTTGTCCTTCTCCCTACACTTAAATGTGAGCCATTTGGCTTTACCTGGTTATTGTTTACCTTGGGTGAAAATTTCGTGTCAGCTGCATGTCTACACCATCCAGCACAGCTTGCAATATCATCATGTCAGGGAATTTCATCAGTGCCCCCACAGGGAGGCAGGGAAAGGGCCAGGATGCCACCATTGCCTTCAGTATCTTTGTGTGTCTGCCAGTGAAGGCTTCCTTGAAGAGTGGTGGGAACAACACTCTCGGCAGCTCCTGCAGAGCAGACATGGCCAAGGCTTCATTCTTCAACAAGCTTTGTACTGCTAAGCTCTGGAGTGTGGGTGGGACATGGAAGCTCATCTTGATGAATCTTCAGTCAGAATAGATCTGTTGAAGCATTCAGAAATCTTATTTTCAAGATATGTCTTGTGAATCTGTAAATCCATCAATCTGTAAACCACCAAAGTGCCAGAGTCCCTGCTCTGGCTACAGTGTGGAACTCAGCATGTCCTGTTGTAAGATCTGGTGGTCACAAAGCCAAACCCTTATCACTCTCTGCATATATGGTCTCTCACAAGAATCTGCATCAGTGCACAAATTAACCATTGACATACGAGGTAACAACCACTGGTCCTTGCTCCTCTGAATCTCATTCCCTTTTGGAAAGGTTGATCAGGGGCAAGCAGTCTGATCTTTCTTTTTTTTTTTTTTGGTGGCAAAACATGCACTGGTCGTCTTTCAAACCCCTCAAGGAAAGACATTGCCATTGGGTAGTGGTAGCACATACCTTTATTCTCAACGCTCAGGAGGCAGAGGCAAGGAGATCTCTGTTAGTTTGAGGTCAGCTTAGTCTACAGAGCTAGTTCTAGGACACCTAATGTTACACAAAGAAATCCTGTATGGAAAACTAAAAACAAACAAAAAACGAAAGAAAGAAAGGTAGGTAGGTAGGTAGGAAGGAAGGAAGGAACAAAGCAAGCAAACAAGCAAGCAAAAAAAAAAAAAAAAAAAAAAAAAGGTGCTTTAGGGTCTGCCAGACTGTCTGAAATGTCAAGCTAAACCTCATGGTTCCTCAAAGCAACCATGACTGAAAGAGAGCACCCAGAAAGACTGTGAGTCTGAGGTGGAGATGCCAGTGTAGGGAGCTACAGGGAAGGAGATTTCCCATGTTGCATTGAGGTCTAGGAAAAGAGTGACTTTAGGAAAACATCTAGATTTCTTTCCTTTTTAAAATATATTGTTGCCTGGAGTGGAGGCGAGAGTGAAATTGGACACACTTCCAAACCTGAATGGAATTGACTTTGTAGTCTAGGCTTGCCCCTCCTCACCATGCTCCTGTCACTGGGAGGAGTAGAATACTGTTTTAGCTACAACACCTAGCTAGTGCACTTTGCTTTTAAAATACTGCATAGATGCCAGGTGTGGTAGTAAGTGCCTCTAATATCAACACTTTGGAGGAAGAGTAAGGAGGATTCTGGAGAAACTTAAGCTACATATTATACTTTCATACTTCTCTTGAGTAGTAGATTTCAAATAAAATATGATAAAAAATGTCTTGATAGAGGTGGTTTGGTAGTAGGGTTTGTGGTGGTTTGAATATGGTTGGGTTTGTCTCATGGGATTAAAGATATATACCACAATGGTTGGGACAAGGCTTTTCATGGTCATTCTTCCTAAAGATCTGGATCAAAAGATTGTGTCTCCCAGCCTCAAAGTCTGGATGACAAGTGTGCCCTCCACTTCTAGATTATATTTGTTTCCAGATTAAAAGTCCAAACTACTCCTTGTTTGACTGAAAACACACACAAAAAAAGATTTGCTGAGTGGGATCTTGCCCTGAGATCACCACTTCCTTAATCTCTTAATCTCCTTAAGCACAGGATTAAATTCTATTTCATGTCCTGGTGGTGCCCCTTTATTATTACCTGAACTATATATTTTGTGGTTTTCCTTTCTAAGCTTGCTATACTTGATACAAATGCTCTCCGTGATAGTAAGCCAGAGGACAAAGTCTATGCTGGCCTTTGCTGAGACTTCCTTTTTCAATGCAATTATTCTGATTCTGTTCACCTTATCCTTAGCCTCAGGCAGACTCTTCAGACAAGGGCAAAAGGCAGCCACATTCTTGACCAAAATACCACAAAAATGATCACTAGGCCACATACTAAAATTCTTCTCCACTGAAACCTCTTATGCCAGGTCTGCAAAGTTCAAATCACTCTCAACAACCAACTCTTCCATATTCTTACTAGGGTAGCTCATTAAGCCCCAATTAAAGCATTACATGACTTTCCAGATCCAAAGTCCCAAAAATCCACACTCTTCAAAACAAAAGCTTAGGCCTATAACAATACTCTAGTCCCTGGTAGCTATTTAGGGTCTTAGGGTTTTTCTGCTGTGAATAGAAACCATAACCAAGGCAACTCTTATTGAAACATGGTCTAGCTTATAGCTTTCGAGGTTCCATCCATTATCATCATGATGGGAGCATGGCTGTGTCCAGCCAGGCATGGTATAGGAGGAGCTGAGAGTTCTACATCTTCATTTGAAGACCACTAGGAGAAGACTGGCTCCCATGTGGTTAGAAGAAGGGACAAGACCACATCTCTGAATAGTACTCAAATGAACCTATTAACATGAAAGTTCCAGCGCAATGTGGATTTCTCAGTAACACCAAACCTAATAGAAGCAAATCATCATTGTCATCGTCATCATCATTACAGAGAGAGAGAGAGAGAGAGAGAGAGAGAGAGAGAGAGAGATGAATTTGCTCTATATTATTTTAAATCCAGCATCTTGAAATGTAGTTGAGCTGGTAATATGCCTGTCCAGACTGTGAGAGGCCTCCTGGTGGAGAAGAGTGATGGGTGACTTACCTGATCAGGATACTGGTGACAGAGCTCCTATTCCCAGCAAGGTCAGGCAAAGACTGTAGACTCCAGGACTCTGAGTGTCATAACCCTTTTATACCACACCCTCCGTATGAAGCCCCACCCCTAAGCACAAAATTCCATCTTCTGGATCTTTGTGTTTGGTTTTTCTTGTAGTAGATTGATTGAATCATAGTTGGTTGTGTGTCCACTGATTGAATCGTTCAATGTGTTTACATACTCAAATGTGTGAGAGTTTTCTAGCGTGTGTTTTCTGAGTGTAAATATAGCTGTCTCCTGAGAGACTCTGAGCATGGTGTCCCCAATCGAGGAGTTAGAGAGAGGAATGAAGGAGCTGAAGGGGTTTGTGGCCCCATGGGGAAAGAGACAATACCAACCAACTAGAGCTCCCAAGATCTAAACAGCCAGCCTGGGAACACACCTGGAGAGATCCATGGCTCCAGCCATATATGTAGTGGAGGATGGAGGAAGCTCTTGGTCCTGTGAAGGCTGGATGCTCCAGTATGGGAGAATGAAAGGGTGGGGAGGCAGGAGTGGGTGGGGGCTCACCCTCATAGAAGCAGGAGGAGGAGGAGGGATGGGATAGGGGATTTCAGGGGGGATGGGAAAAGGGATAACATCTGAAATGTAAATAAATATCCAAAAAAAGAGAAACAAAGATGAAGAGTTCAAGGTTTACCTATTAATAATGTTTTGCAGACTGTGAGCAGGTTGTATTTATGTATTTAGGAGAGGGAGAGAGAGAGGGAGAGGGGGGGAGAGGGAGAGAATAGAATTTCTGAATTTGAAAAGCAAGGGATGATGTGGTGAGAGGAAATTGGGGGGTATGATGTAATTATATTGTTAATTTCAAAAAATAAAAAATATAATTAAAAATTTAAAAAATGTGTGGTTTATTTCAGTTTCCATGTTTCCTTTGCATGTGTGTTTGAGAGTATGTTTGTTTGAAGTTGACCTCAATGGTTCACTTCTGACAGAGTAAAACTTTATCATTGACCTGTCTTACTGGACACATGTGATTAAATCAGGAATTTTAATAATTTTGTCAGTAATTCATTTATTTTGTTGGAGACTTGGTATGGCTTGATAAATTGGATTTATGGGGAACTCCTTATGTAGATCAAATTGGCTATAAACAGAATAATCTAGCTGTCTCTGCCTCCTGAGTGCTAAGACTATATGTACAAGACCTTGTGCCTGTTTTTCTTTCTGTTTTTGTTTTTGAAACAGCCAAGAATAGCATGAGCTGTGTTCACAAAGCTGGCTCAACACCAGATCTTCAATATATCCATCTGAGAAATCAAGAAGAAGTATCTGTGGGCCATTTTGGGATGTTTACTATCCTGAGAAGCTGCCTGAGGGTGGATCTCAATCCTGTCTCCCTGTGGTCAATGACTGAAGATGAAGAGCAGCTTAATAGAGCTATGAGATCCACAGGTGCTCAGCCAGTACTTCCCTTCCCCTATTCACACCTCCAGGATTCCAGACCTCCCCTTGGCATCTTCTCTAGGGCTTTTCGTTGCTATTGCCCAGACAGGCCCTGATGAATCCCATCATAGACTTTGTTCTCTGATTAAGGCTTATGAAGAGCATTTTAGACAAGCATAGCAAACTGAGAAAGGAAAAATATAAAATGCATGGTTCAAGTATTAAAGGGGCACCAGGAAGTGAAATGGAACTGAATCTTGTATTCAAGGATATTAAATTGATTAAAGGAGTCGTGACCTTGGATCAAGATCCCACCCAACTCAATTTAAGTCCAAGCACAGTAGTATAAGCCAGGAGGCAAAGACAAGCAGATCTCTGAGTTCAAGGCCAGTCTAGAACAAAGAAAGTTCTAGGTAAGGAAGAAGTTATACCCAGGCTTCGTGACCACTGCTTTAATCCCAGTGGTTAAGAAAGATGCAAAAGAAATTTCCCTGATCAATCTATTTGCAGTGAGAGGCCTGTAATTGGACAGGAAAAAGGGAGTAGGAGCTAAGGGTGGAAGAGACAGGAACATAGGAAGAAATGGGAGAGGAGGGAGGCAAAACGACAGCAGGCATAGACCCATATGGTTTCAAGTAAATAGGTAGATATGAAATTTAAAGGTTAGGAAAATTGGGATAACTAAGTTGTGTGAGCATCTTGTGTATTGAGATTTTATTGATATATATACATCCATTGGTTTACTTTAAGCATCTAGAATTTTGATTTACTGGGTTACTGGAGGGTGGGTCCACCAACAACTGGGTGGTTATTGCTGAGAAGGAACTTGTGGTTCCAGGGACAAGCAAACTAGAGCTAGAAGCACAGTGACTGTTGGCTATGGGGCAAGCTAGAGAGAGTAGCCCAGCAGAACCAGCTCAGGAGCTCCAGCCTCACCGGAGAGCTTTGCTTAGACAAAATGGGCTTAGTGTGGGAACTTGGCCACAGAGCCAGGAAGCCTCTCAGACACTTCTCTTTTCTAATCCCGCAACAGAAAGAAGCATGCAGATCTCTCAGTTCAAAGTCAGTCTATGGAGCATG